GACGCACAGCGACAACTCCATCTTTTTCGAAGTCGACGGCCCTTACAAAGCCATGGTCTTGCCCACTTCCAAGGAGGAGGACAAGAATTTGAAGAAGCGTTATGCAGTATTCAACGACGACGGCAGTTTGGCCGAGTTGAAGGGTTTCGAGGTGAAGCGCAGAGGTGAGCTGAAGCTCATCAAGATCTTCCAGCAGCAAATCTTCAAGTTCTTCCTGGAAGGAGAAACTCTCGCCGAGTGCTATGCTGCTGTTGCCAAGGTTGCCAACCAATGGCTTGATGTATTGCACAGCAAGGGTGCAACGCTAGCGGACGAGGAACTCATGGAGCTTATTTCGGAGAACAGAAGCATGTCCAAGACCTTGGAGGAGTACGGTTCGCAAAAGTCAACTTCAATCACCACGGCGAAGCGTTTGGCAGATTTCTTGGGTGAACAGATGGTCAAGGACAAGGGATTGAATTGCAAGTTCATTATCTGCGCCAGACCCAAGAACGCGCCCGTCACCGAGCGAGCCATCCCGGTTGCCATCTTCTCTGCTGAAGAGACGACGAAGCGTTTCTACCTCAAGAAGTGGCTCAAGGAGGAACCTGCGGACACCGACCCGAGAGCTCTATTGGACTGGGACTACTACCTCGAGCGCCTGGGATCCGTTATCCAGAAGCTCATCACCATCCCTGCTGCGCTCCAGAAAGTCAGGAACCCGGTTCCTCGTGTGGCTCACCCCGACTGGCTGCAACGCCGGATCAACATCAAGGACGATAAGATGAAGCAGAAGAAGCTCACCGACCTTTTCACCAAGGGGCCACTGGAAGACATCACCAACCGCAACGGTCGGTCCGCAACCGACATGGAGGACTTCGGCACACAGCTACTCAAGCCCAAGCCCGTGACGTCTGTGGTGGCCGCTTCACAGCCTACTGCCCAGAAGAGAAAGTCTCCCGAAGCTGCTGAGAGCACTGATCCCTTCGCCGCACTGCCCAAGGTTATGCCCTCCCCCTCAGACGACTACATTGGCTTCTTGCAATACCAGAAGCAAAAGTGGAAGATTCAAAAGCAGGCTCGCATTCGAAGACGACAGCTTTTTGGAGACCGACGCGGCAACAACCAGAATAACATCCAAAACACGTTCATGAAACAAGCCCATATGACTTACATGAGCAATTGGCAGCTGCTGCATCTCAAGCCGACGGAAACTCCTGGTATCGTCAACGCTCACGTTCTCATTGATGCAAAGATCCACTCGCTCAAGATCAAGGTCCCGCGACAGGTGTTCTTGAACTTGAGAAGTGGCGAAATGCCCGACGTTGATATCCCTGGCTGTGAGGTCGAGCAGGTCAACCACACGCTTCCGAATGGTCACTCTTCCGTTCACCTCTTCAAGCTTACGGTTCCTGAGGACGTCTACTTCAATGAGGCGGACAAGTTCTCGCTGCTGTTCAACCACCCCAGTGTCGAAGGCGTGTACGAGAAGCATTTGCCGCTGAATATTCGGGCTGTGCTTCAACTGGGTAATCTCTGCACCATTGACGAACAGCAACATGCAGTCCTTGGAAAGGGCCTGGAGCAAGGCTTCGATCTAAGTGGTCTCAAGCGTCCCCTGAAGGCGAAGACCTATCTTGAAACTTCACCCCTGGCATACATCTACGTCTCTCACGTCACTGCTGGCGACAAACAAATCTTTGGAGTCTTCTCTACACTGAAGGACGAGGCACATGTAATTATCCTACAGAAGGGCAGAGACTCGGGCCAGGACCTCCCCAACATCTCCCGGATTTACACCGAGCTGCTTGCTCGACGAGGAGAAGAGGCCGAGGGCACAAACTGGCAGGATTGCTTCACATACCAGGAGAAGCTGAACTTCAAAATCACCCAGGTCACGACGAGGCGAAAGGCGCATTTGGAACTCAGTGACGTTGTCAAGAAGATGAGAAAGGACGAGCTGCGACCACTCATGATGGTTATCCAATCATCCCAGCGCAACATGCTCATCAATGACGTTCCGATTCTCGGCGAGTTTCCAGTACTGCCGCTTAAGTATGATGCTGCGGATAGCTCCCTGCCGCCACTTGGCTGGCAAGCAGTCGTTGCTAGACGGCTTGTTGGGCATTATCTTGGTCTTGGCTCGTGGATCTTGCATCTTACAACACTCGCACGGTACGGAGAGGTTCCTCTCTGTAATCTCGAGCGAGAGGACCCGCGCTTCCTCATCGATATTGCCTATGCTAGAAGGTTGCAGAACAACAATGTTGTCCTGTGGTGGTCCGCAAGCCCTCGTCCCGACCATGCCGGTCACGAGAAGGATGACATTATCGGCCCGCTCGAAACTGTCCAGATGCCCTCAATCAACAACCCTGGCACGTTCTCCTCGGTCTGCATCGACTTGGAGGTCAGAAACCTAGCCATCAACACCATACTCACATCCTCTCTTATCAATGAGCTGGAAGGCTCCGAGTCTATTTCTTTCAATCCTGCCGGAGATGGTAACGCGGCTGGCGACGAAGTCATCTCGTCAGAAGGCACGTTTGCCAACGCTGGTGTGTTGGTTCTCCGAGAGATGGTGAAGAGTTGGTGGCAGGAGGCCTGCAAGGGCAACACCATGGCCGATGTCATGGTTCAGCACCTGGTCCGTTGGGTCGAGAATCCCGATTCCTTCCTGTATGACCGTGCTCTGCACTATTACGTGCAGATGATGTCCAAGAAGGCCTTCCAACAGCTCATGGCCGACTTCCGCCGAGTCGGCTCTCAGGTCATCTTTGCCAACTCGAACCGCCTTTTGCTTCAGACGACCAAGGCCGAGGTCGGTACCGCGTATGCCTACAGTCAGTACATTATCAAGTCGATCAAGAGCAAGCCCCTCTTCCACTTCATCGATCTTGAGATCAAGGAATATTGGGATTACCTAGTATGGTACGATGAGTTCAACTATGGCGGCAAAGCCTGTCAGGAGGTGGTGGAGGCAGAGCAGCAGATTCTCGACACCGTCATGCACTGGCAAATGGCGACATTCCTCCCTATCCGCCTGCAGCCCACTTTCCAGGACTGGGTCATTGAGTTCATCCAACTCATGCACAACCTCAAGCGCCCTCAAGACGGAGACTTCTCCTCGACGCCACGCCTTACACAACTCCCGCAAAAGGCCCTCGCGGAGGGCGCACAGGGACAAATCATCCTAGGCAAAGTCTTTGAGAAGCCCCTGAAGAAGGACATTGCCAACCTCGTCAACCTACAGAAGCGCGAGCTGCTCCACCCGGAGCTCGCGGAAGACTACTCCTTCCCCAAGCTCCCCGGCTCGCACCTTGCCCACCTGTCCTCGCGCAACGCCGTCCTCGAGCTCGTTAAGTCCCTGATGCAGGTCCTCTCCCTCGACAAGAACATCACCCTCGAAGCGCGCCTCCTGCGCAAGGAACTCCTCGCCATGTTCGACGTGCGCGAGTTCAGCAAGGAAGGCGCCTTCCAGAACCCGAGTGAGAGCCTGAAGGTGATCCAGCTCAGCTGCGACAGCTGCACCATGGCGCGCGACCTCGACTTCTGCCGCGACGAGGACCTGTTGCCGGAGATTGGGCCCGACGGGCGGCGGCTGGGACCGGAGACGAGGCCTTGGCGGTGTACGTTTTGCGAGGCCGAGTATGATCGGAATGCGATCGAGGAGACGTTGTTGGCGAGCGTGGAGGCGTTTGTGGTGGAGTGGACTACGCAAGATCTCAAATGCGGCAAGTGTGGTGCGTTGAGGATGAACGAGTTTATGGAGCATTGTACGTGCAGCGGGACGTGGGTTGAGAGTGTCAAAAGGGCGGATATTGTGAGAAGGCTGAGTGTGTATTGGAGCGTGGCTAAGTTTTATGGGTTGCGGATGTTGTTGGAGGTTACGGAGGGGTTGAGGAAGGGTCTTTGAGGCCTCTTTGAGGGAAGAGGGAGAAGGGATGGGCATGGGCAGGCGCGTTTGGGTTGCATTTGACGGCGTTATTGGGGATGTGAGACTTGTGGGAGGGATGATATACTAGATAGCCCTTTGAAAAAGCATGAGAGGCTGTGGTTTACGTGCTTGAATACGAATTCTTAATTCAGGATATGGATGCAATCCCTGTGACTGTGAATGTGACTTGTTCGCGTTCTAAGGGGGGGGGGGGGGGGGGGAATGGGGTAGGGTGGGGGGCCGGGGGGGGGGTGGGGGGGACCGGGGGGGTGTGGGGCATAATGGGGTTTTTGGGGGAGGTGGTTGTGTAGTAGGGGGTTTGGGGGGGGGGGGGGGGGGGGGGGGTGTGGGGGGGGGGGGGGGGGGGAGGAATAGGGTATCGCTGAGCGGACCGAGACGGCTGTATGGCATCCGTGGTGACTTGGGCCAATATCGAGATTTGATGGAAGTCGTGTCTAAGTAAGAGTCTTTAGAAGCGTGAGGCGTTGCGGCGGGTTTGTGAGATATAGTCAGATGCTCCCCTCCTCCCACCTAGTACCGAATGGCGTCACTTCGTAGACACCCGCCTTATTCAGGGTAACAGCGAACTGTGTGTTGATCCGTTCCTATTTCCTTATAGCCTCGAGATAAAGTAAGAATATCAGAAGCAGAGTTGGAAAAAAAATGAGGAACGTTTGTATTCCCATCATTCAGCTTTCGACGGGATACATCACACGATACCTTACATGTATTGTTCCTGATTAGATGCGGCTGGAGTTGCATGCGCTTCATTACTAGTTCATTCTTGTCATTGTGCGAAAGGGCTCATGGAAAGAATTGTGAAGTCGGCAGACGTCTATCATATCTGCTATTCATTCTAGACCCCACTTGCCAAAGCGTCATATTCGCCAGTTCCTCTCCATCCAGAGATCCGTAGATGGGTCTTGATAAACTCAAACCAGAGTTTGGCATTCTGGGACCCCTCGTTCGTCAATGACGAAGATGTGCTTTGGGTCATGAAGCTTATCCTTGTGAGGCGCGCACTTGAAGCAAAGCCCAAAGTTTTTATAACAATCATTGTCATCGCAAATGAGGAAAGCACCCCAAATCAGCTGGATTTATCGTCTAGGTTAGCTCGAATATTGTGGTATATCGGCACGGGGAAACTTACAGTATTGCAACCATCGCAAATCCATCTTCCAGCGCGCTTGGGCAACGCTTTGATGGATTCGACTTGAACTTGTTTTCCCTCCGTCACGTCCCTAAACGCAGCGACGATAATTTCAGGCGCGCCGTGGTGTTCCGCAATCTCCAGTACGCCCCACATACGTTCGTTGCCACCGGGCACACGTTCTGCCAGACCAGGACACTTCTTCCGAGCTAGGAACTTGATGATTTCAGCCTTCTCTGCCCATTTCCGCGGGACATCTTCGTCTCCAAGATCTTCGATGGAGGCCATTGGCGCTGCCCAGTGAAGAGCCGACCACCCGTCGACGTCACGGCTGTCAATTAGATTTGGATCCAGGTCGACAAGTCTCTCAACAAGTCCCAGATGCCCCGAGTGTGCTGCGCAGTGCAGGATACCCCGTGACATTCTGTCCTTGTCCCCTAACGAGGCCAAGAGGTCGTCCGCTCCGTAGTCGTCTAGTAGCATGTCAAACATCTCGAGGGCGTCGTCCTTTCTGGCACAGATATTGAACCACGCCGGCTGTCCGTTGCCGTCTAGGGTGTCGAAACTCCCACCCTTTTCGAGCAGGTACCGTACGAGCGATTCGTCGCCAGACCGGAACGCCTCTCCCATGGCACTGCGGAGGTAGCTTCCTGGGCCGTTGATGTCGATCCCCTTTTGCTCGACTAGGTACCTCAGTACTGCCAAGTCATTCTTGTTGACATTGTTGCATGCCGCCTCGAGAAGGGTGCCCTGCATCCCATACCAGAGACCCGCATCACCGCCCAGCTCCAAGATCAATTCTACTTCTTCCACTTCACCGAACCTGCAACACCTGTGCACGGTGGAACCGTACCTATCTGGACCCTTTGCGTTGATCGGAGCACCTTTGGAAATGAGGTATCTGCAATTCTCTTCACGGCTCTGCGGCTCGCCGTAGATCAGAGCGTTTAGCAGAGCGGTATGACCCCAGTTATCGGTGGCTTTAACATTGGCGCCAGCGTTTACCAAACGCTGGGTGAGACTCGAATCTTGCTTCGTCACGGCGTAAAAGAGAGGCGTGTAGCCATTGTCGTCTTTGGCCTCCTTGTCGGCTCCGTATTCCAGCAATACCGCGAGTGTATCGCCGCTGTGTGCGAGATGGAGCGGTGTCAGACCGGTGCCCGGGATCCGATGGTTGACGTTGGCCCCGTGCTCTAGTAACAGCCTCACAATCTCCATGTGCGAGTATAGACTGGCAACAGCTAGAGCAGTATACCCTCTCGTATCCGCCTTTTCTTTTTCAATATCCGAGGATGGCGTGAACTCGATGTCCGGGTCGCCATGCTTCAACAACAACCTGACACTTTCCGTCTTGCCGTACGTCGCTGCGAGGAAAAGCGCTGTACATTGGGTGTCTCCGAACTCTGCCACTCGGTGATAGTCGGGCGGTGGCCACGCCTTGGTGACCAAATGTGCCATGACGGCCGGATAGTCATATGCCCCCTCCAAAGGAGACCAGTTTCGCGCCTTTGAAGGAATAGTCACGTCGGCTCCCTTGCTCAGGAGATATTCGACGACTGCTGGTCTCGATTGAAGTGTCGCTCCGTACAGCGGCGTCAGCCCCTTGACATCAGTTCGAATGTTGACGTCGGCGCCCCGTTTCACGAGGAACTCCACCATGGATAGCGTGCCCTCTTTCGCGGCCACGTAAAGAGGCGGTTCGCCTGAGAGTTCTCCAGCGTTTATGCCGACCCCGCAATCCAAGAACACTTGTGCCAGCTCCGTGTTATCCTGCTTCACGGCGTCACTCAAGTACTGCTCTTGACGCCCGTAATCAGTCTCGACTCCCGTGTCTAGAAGCAAGAGACAGACTTCCCTGGATACTGATTTCTGTATAGCACGACTCAAGCAATCCATCAGGATTTCCTTGTCTCGGACAACATCAACATGGCCGAGGAGTACTCTCACAATTTCCAGTGAAGAGTGATCCACGGCCATGTAGAGACTCTCCTTGAGTCCTACACTGGAGAAATACTCGCTCTGAGACTGGCTCGCCAGCAGCTTCTCCAAAGCAGTATGATTGCCCGAGTAAATAAGCGCTCGCAGAGATCGGGACGAGATATCTAATCTGAGCCAGCTCATAAGCGCAAAGACGTCCTTACAATCGCATACGAGGCTTGCAGCGAGCAAGATGTCAGCCTTTTGGTCTTCACTGAGGAGAGGTTCTGCAAGCTGTGAGATCATCTTTGTGGCATCCGATCTCGGGAAAGCAATGGCCTTCAATAGCCATGTGAGCCACGTGGAGCTGTCAATATTACAATCTTTGATGCTTTTGGGGCATACTTGAATGCCGGCGAATGCCGCGCAGAAAAACAATTCGAACGGGGGTTGGAAATTCTGCCGAGACTGCGCTTGTCGGAAAAGATCATGGATGCAGTCGTGTGTGAGATTACCTGGTTCAACTGCTGAAAAGACCTTTCTCGCTTCCTTGTCTCTGAGGACAGAAACAGGGAGCTTCGGAAGAAGTGTCATGTGGCCGCCCCTGACTGCCTCCAAAAGCGCAGGGAACACAGTCTTGGGGCTACGTTCCCATCCGGGACAGCTGGCAAGCATGCCGATCTCCTCGATGTCATGGAAACCATGACATACGAGAAGAGCCACCGCAGTAGCTGTGGTATCTTCAGAAATCGCCCTCTTGGGAGATTCTACGACAGCATGTTGAACATGTCGGAGCATAAGGAAAGTCGCGGCGTGGTTGACCTTCAGGAATCTGGCTACCATGGCTTCGGCTTCTAGTTTTGTCGATGTGTGAGATTGAGCAACTCTGTAGTGATGTGACCAAAAATTGGCGGCATACGTCGTCAAGTCGTGGTGGGAAGGTGAACGTCGGATGAACTCGGATTGTGAACTTTGACTGTCAAGGCCTTTTTGCTCTGCCTCGATACCCAAATGCCGGAGCAGACAGCGCAGTATCCATAAGTTTGATTTGGCATTATGGGAATGCCAGGGGCCAGCGTCGTTCGGTTCGCCAGTAACGTCGTAAGTGAGCCGACACTCGCCATCAACTACTTGTATAAGGCCTGAAAGATGGTTCTGGATGGGGCAAAAGCTAGCGGATGAGGTGTCTTCTATACCTTTTCCAAGACGGCATTGACCTGAGATGAATTCGGTTCCATGTGATTTGGCTAGGCTCCGTTCCAGAGCTAAAACAGTGACAAGCTCAGTCGGAGAAAGGGGTCGGCAACCGAATTGGGCCCAGAGAAGGGCGCTATTCGTAAAAACATCCTCATCTCTTGTAAGAAAACCCGCTATTGCAGTCTGCAGGGCGTGTGGATCAAGCTTCCCATTGTCGTCGATGGCCTCGTGGACTCTTCGGTAATACTGAACGCCTGATACGCTTGTTTGTGCTGTCCTGATGGCGAATTGCATGAAACTCTGGCGAAGATCGTCGTCTTTGCTGTTGCACAAGGCAGCCTCGATCAATTCTGGCAACGTACCGACGCACGCGTGGCTGCCGTGTGAAGCTAAGGATTCTGAAGAGATCTGACTGCTATGATCTTGAGAGCGTTGATAACAAGACCCTAATTGAAAAAGATGAATGCCGGCATCTTGCATAATTCCCTCAAAATCAGAGGTTGATTGTCCCAACCAGGAAAATAGTACCGCAGGCTTGGGCGTGGTCAACCGAAAAAGCTCTTTGAAGTTGCTCACTAACCTGGTCACCTCCGTATCGCCGCCACAGTGTTCTAGGTTCCAAACACACCAAATTGGACGAATGCCGTTGCGCCGAAGACAATTGTGCAGAACGACGAAGAGAACTGTAAGCGAGTCTTCACCCAATGGCTTCGCAGGCGAGTAGGTTGATTCAAACAACGAAAGTAAGCTCGCCACACCCATGTCCTGCTCCATCCGAGGAGAGATGCACGCAAGACCCTGGACTAGGAAGCTCTCGAGCACATTCCGCATACTGCTCAAGCGGATTTTCGCTTGAATCTGTGTATGTGCTCTGATCTCTCGAAACTGGTAGATAAAAGCTCTAATCTCTGTCTTAGGTGCTGACAGCTGGTTTGCTTTCGACACCGATCGAACGAAACTGCCAATCGTACTCGATGGGGATGATTCCGTAGGAGCCCAGATATATCGGGTATTGCTTGACGTACGACCTTCGATCCACTCATCGAGGTCTTCTTCAAATCCCAAATTATCCAATGTCTTGTACTCAAGCCCCGCTTGAAAAGTAGGTGGCGGAGACACAGATGAGAGCAGGACTTGTAGCCTCTGGCTGCTAAAGCTTGCTTTTAAGGGAAGCGTAAATTAGTGATTGTGATCATATAGAAATGTCGATGGTGTATTCAGTGCACAGAAATATCTAGGCGCGTTACCTGTAGTTGAAACCTGAAGTTTTCCCTTGAGCAACCTATCCGCTCTCTCGTCGAGTTCGTGACCGAGCAGGGTGCCGTGAGGGTGTGGCAATCCGATGCGAGTTTCGCAACTGAGGTCAAGCGTAGCAGTGAACTCATCAAACGTCTAATAGGGTCAGGACTGAATTGAAAAAAGGTTCATGGCGATTCTATGACCCAATTGCCATCTTGCATGATCGCCCTTATGATAATATTGTAACTTTTGTGACAGGAGAGGGGTGACAGGACTCAAACATCAGGTATGTGTGCTTACTCGGTCAATAGAATTCGGTGCCTCCGAGAAAACGCTGATTATGTGCACCATGAAAGGTAGATTGCTGTTCAAAAACAGGTGATTCACATCTGTGGTCATTTCAGCGCATAGTTTGGCAGCTTGGAAAAGGCCGATACTGGGAATGCTGTGAGTGTTATAGATCAAAGTCGCAAACCCATTAACAAGCGACTCAGCGCTCGATGTTTTGTGTGGGCAGCCGATGAAGATCTTTGCTCTTGTAAGCATTGCAATCTCTCCAGATCAAGTTCAAAGATTGACTTACTAAGACAGAAACAGAGGACAGCAATGGACTGTACTTGCTTAGGTTGCCAGCAGCAATGATGAAGGCCTGCAGTCCACTATGTAGTCAGTCCTAAGTTGGAGAGGTTCTACAAATAATAGAAACAGGTTTAGAGACGTAATTTGGCTCAACCTACCATCTTAATAAGCACACCACCCGTGTCGTGGGCTAGAATGGCAAGTGGACGATCTCCCTTTGAAGGCTAGGTCAGCAATTGCGTCTGGTTATAGGAAATTTTGATGATACTGACCTCCGATGCCTTCCAAACCATGATATCGTCTAAAAGCTGACAGGCAACGAACTCCAGTCCAGCACGAGTGCACATGGGCTTTTGGCCGTCAAAAAAGTTTTCGTAGTTGAAAGCAATGATGTTGGAGTTGCTATCATTGAACAAATCTTGTCTCAGCCAGGCCGGTTTGGTCGGGGTTGCCTCCCAAGGGCTGCCACCGCTATATGACAATCCATGGACCACAAGGATGCTTCCATATGTTTAGTTACTATAACATCTCGTAACTAGGCTTGAATCGAAGAAGGGTTTGCGAGATAAATCACAGCAGCATTGTCATTGTGCAACATACTCTTTATCTGAGTCACCATCCTCCGCATCGAATCTCTCGAGTAACTCCATGATCTTGTTCTTTTATGGGGCAACTTTTGCTCTTTTGGCTGTCGTTCATAATTCTGTGGGAAATAACGTCCCCAAGATATCCCAATTTCGCAACAAATATGTTTCCGAGGAAGATGGATTGGTAGAGGGAAGGAAGCCGCCTTAGGCCGGCTACTCATACATCAGCTGATTGCTCAGATTGGGTTGGTTTCTATCCAACATTCCAACAACAAATCACGCATTCATAAAGTAACATGCTGGGTACTTGAAAATACATCGAAGCTAGCTGTGACTACTTCTGGCCATCTTTGACCTAACTTGGGGTTCCTGTTCCGAGGCTAAGCGACAGGCGCAGGTTACATGCAGGGATTCAATGCGATGTGATGAAAGCGTTTACATGCACCTTGCCATGAATACCAACCAACTACCCGCTTGTGCCGCTCGAACACTACCGTACAAAGTCTCTTGAAAATGACTCAGTCTCTAAGGCGCCAGAAGACAATCCCCAAAGGTCACCCACTACATCCGCAAGCTGTTTCGAATCATACTTGCGCAGGTTTTCGGTGGATTGTTTGAAGGGATCAACTCTCAAACAACCTCGAGGCACCTTGCCAAACATCTCCGTCAAATTCTCGATCGATGTTTTCAGATCAACGGAAGACTTGATTTCCATTTCGAGGACGAAGGGTCTGCCCATCGTATTTCCATTACACCGCTCAAGTAAGACAGCGGCACGAAAATGAGGCGGGACACCGTGTTTGGGCAGGGCGGGGTTCTCCATTAGCGCCCATTTGACGCAATTATGCGGCCGTTGGTCATTTACTCTGCCCTTCGGTTGTCGTGTTGTCCATCCATTAACAGTGGCGTACTCCGTCGTGTCCAAGCTGACCGTCTCGCTGCGTTTGACACCGCATTCGATGGAGGCACCATAACACAAGCCTGCGGACAGACTACTCTCATTACTGCGCGAGAGAGTCATTGCTTGTGGGTGGAATGAAACTCTTCCCTTCGGCGAGAGGCCTCCTTTGCGCACGCGAATGCCCTCGGGTAGAGTGAGGCTTATGATGGCTTGGCGTATCCTTCGCGTCGCTTTGATCCGGTCCAGCTGAAAATCGAAAACAACTAGGACACATGGGGTGGCATCATCTAGACTAGCTTGGCCGTGAATAATGTCGGCTAAGGAACAGCGGACCAACACTGCAGTCTCGCGCGGGGTATAGATGCCGTCTGAGTTGAATCGAAACTGGCATTGGGCCTCACTGACCGCACCCAAGCCGAAGTCGATCACCGTACCAACGTCTGAGAAGTCGTCTGATTCGCTATCTGACATCTTGACCACTGAGTAGTATCCGAGAGATGACAGGGATTGTATGAGGGACGGGTGATTGCTTGATTGTTAACGAGGCAGTGTTGCTTGATGTAGACATAGATAGTATTATGATTCGGAGGGGATGCCCACTCTTTTATGGACGACGAAAACAAGGCACTTGTTTGTAGAATTTCAAAACAACCAACACAATGTGGCTGTGAAACTATGAACGGTGCCACAAAGGCTGCGCGAGGCTATTCCTGGAAAACCACTGCTGATACGTCTGCGCCTTAAAGCTTGTTCGCAAAATTACGGGTATCCTAGTGTGCCTGGAGTAGGACGAATCCCGGCGATGGTGAACAGAAGCACGTTGGAGTAGCAAGTTGCAAGCAAGTTGAGAGTCAAGCTTGCAGAGATGGGTGCAATATTGGCTTGGCTGCATATGCAGGGGAAGCTTCCAACCAACTTGCTCGCTCTTCCAACTAGACTCGGATAATCGGATGATGCCGCAATGTATCGCATAGGTAACTATATGTCGATCATGATGGCGAAGAGAGAGTTTTCAAGTTAGCATGTAACCGCGTTGTACATGGACTGTGGCCTCGGTGTCTCGGGTTCTCCCGTCTCAGCGATGCCTACGTGCAAATGCAAGTAGCTCAGAACAAAATCTTTTGCTTCTCGTCCAAACATCGACCTGGGAGCGTCACGAATGAAAATCGCCTCAAGCTAGGAATTTTGTGCGCAGACCAGTACGTTATCGCTCTGAGTTCTGCGCAATCATTCGGCACAATTGAGCACCGCATTTTAGGACATGAGCCCAAAACTCACCCACGAACCCGTGGCAACAATGGAGACGCCTCCTTCTTCTGAAAAGGACTTTTTCGATGTCTTCCATCACATATCAGGCGAGATCGACGCCATAAAAGCGGGCGAACAGCGAGATCCCCAGTCTGAAAAGCAACGTGTTCATGAACTTATTTGCTTCGTCGAGGATCATGCCGACGAGATTAACGAAGACGGCACGATTCTTCACCAGTTTCTGCGCGATGCCAGAAGAGCAGATAATTGCCCTCCGGAGGTCCTGAACACCGTCCTCGGAAAGTTACCAGAAGCAATTTTGATGAACTTCAGTGGAGCCGTTCCTCTGCTAGAGTTCATCAGGAGACGCTCGAAAAAGATGGTTCGTGTCGTCATCGAATTCATGGCACAAGATATGAAGAAGCGCAACTTAGCTTCTTTAGCGACACTGACCTTCGGTTTCGCTGAAACCTGGTTCGAAGAGAACGAGCAGAATCCCGACACCATAGAAGCTGGTCGAGAAATTATTCAAGCTGCTTTTAACTTCAATGACAAACCCAACGAGTTGCTCCCGGTCAACATAGACCTTCTAGAGATTCTAGTCAACCTTGCGGCTCCAGAGATGCTTTTCAAAAGCAATAACGAATTGAGTCCGCTGGAGCAAGTTCTGCGTTTCGATTTGTGTCTCAGTGACCCTGACCGTCAACTAGCATTGGTGAGGCTAATTCTCGACAAATGCCCCAATAGCATCCACGATTTGGTGACCAAAGAGGTCAGACTTCAGCCGTGGAAAGCGAACAACTCTCTTCATCAACCCGAGTACAGCGTTTACAGGTGGCATATTGCCACCAGGGAATCTTGGCATAATCAGCATCTTCGGCAAATGAATGCATCTACGCCGACACAAGTGGGCCCACCTGATCGACTAGCTACCTCTGAGATCGCGAGCGAAAGAGGGCTTGGGGGAACACAGCCTAAGCCCGGAATGATGTTGAAGGGTCTTATGACTGCTTCTTACACGCGGATACCTTCTTCGAGTCCAAGTTTCGATGCTGATAGACCGGCGAAACCAAGCATATTGAAACCTAGCCACCCGCCCACGATTATGGATCAGCCATCTGTTTCGGAGGGTCGGGGAAAAGAGGGTCAGGTTTCGCGTCGTCCGCTATTGCGCAACGGAGGCCTGACAAATGGGAGAAAACCGAAAGAGATACGCTTCACTAAACAGGATGTTGAGGCTGCAGACAAAGCCAGCGATGAAATTTGTAAGGAGCTCGGAGTTCGCTTTCTGCGGTCGACTGTTTTCCACGACGATGAGACGAGGAACGCATTCCGGGAGATTGACACCGAAATCCAGCGATTTTTCGGAAATAACGAACAGCGTAAGTTTCAAACACCGAAGAACCCCCGGCGTAGAATCCCTTCAGCTCTTCATAGGTAGCTTGGTTCTAATGCCCGCATGGCGTCGTCACACCCCCTTCCTTCTTCCCCTGAATTGATTGATGAGGAAGTGGCATCTTGGCCACTATTCAATTGCTTTTGTATAAATGCTAATATCCGAGAACTCAGATTACTATTTCGCAATGGATACGGCTAAGGAATACCGTGATATGACAGAGAACCAAGTGAGGAATTATTTTGGCAAACGGGATCACTACCACACTCTTCGTCATGTCTTTCTTCAGCCGGCTACGATCCTCCTTGAGAATGATCAGAAAACCCCTAATGGTTCATCCCGCTATACAGATCATCTTCAATTCTTTAATTGGTTCAGGGAGTGGGGTGTTCGCAAGATCTTCAAGGTTGTTGTCTTTGACGGCGACCACCCTCACCGAGACGAGGAGGTTGAAAAGGCTCTAGCAGGCTTTGTGCGCGGAAAAAAGAAGTATCCCTCTTTTGATGTCGAGATTCTCGACTGGCACAAGGAAGATCTCTGCCCCGAGGTGATACAGACAGCAACGCCGCAGGTTCGCGAACTGCATCTGCATTGGAGTGGTCGGAACTCTGTCCTGCGTGGGTGGAGCGAGCCTGAGGGACTACCTGCTCTTGAATATTTGCAGAAGGTGTATATCTACTACACGGTACCATCGATCGAGGAAAGTCGCATACGAAAGAACATCGAAAGCTTCACAAGGCGCATGAAGCAGCCAAGGCGACGGCCAGTGAAGATGGGACAGGCGAATCAGAACTCAACTAGTACTAAGGCGCCAGTACAAATGCAGTCGTCCAGGCAAGGAATGTTGGTCCAAGCACATGAGCATTTCGACGACTACAAGAGTCTACCGACCATTCAAATTGTAGACGTGGGCAGAGTCACGCCGACAGGCGCAGCTGGGCCCGATCTTGCCGCGGGTTCTGCCTCAGAATCTGTAGAACAGCCGTGGTTCAAGTACGTTGAAGAGTTTGTTTCGATTATCCCCACACCGGAGGAGCTGCCAGACTATGACTTCAAGAACCCGCACCTGCGTCGAGTAAGGGTTGCACTGATTGACGACGGGGTTGATCTCTTTAGCAAGAGCATGCGTTGTCTAGAGTCGCGCTTCTTGGAAGGTCGAAGCTTCGACCAAACGCCTGATGGGCCCAACCCGGTTTATTCATCTGTCAGTGGCCACGGAACATTCATGGCAAAAACAATTCTTCGCATCTGCCCCTTCGCAGACATAATACCTTATCGTTTGAAAACCGTCCGAGACGTATCCAGCAATCGGCGAGTACCTGATGCAAGCAGTGCAGCTAAGGTAAGCATCATAGCCCCACGTTTCAAGGCCCTTTTCGAGCGAAGTTCTGTCATCGGGCTTTGTGATCCTGAACCGGTAGTTGAAAAGGCTATTGATCTGACTGACTTGCGCAGGCTATCAAAGCTGCCATAGAGCAAGACGTCGATATCATTAGTATGTCTTGGACCATCCGCAACGACAATAAGAAGATTTCAGAGGCCACGCTCATGGAGCTACGCAATGTCGTGAGCGCATGTGAGGGCACCGGCAGTCAATGCCGTCGGATTCCCATCATGTTCTGCGCAGCGAGCGACGATGGAATCCAAGGACGCAGTCAGCACGGTGATAGAGGAGAGTTTCCGCGGGAGATCAACAACGCCAAAGTGTTCTGTATTGGTGCTGCTGATCCTCACGGACAGGTCTGGCCAGAAGTTACGGACCAGAATGGGCTGAACTACCTATTCCCAGGCGTGGATATCAAGGATGTTTTTGAAGGTGACAGCCATGATTCCGATACCATATCAGAGGCTTTGGGGTCACAAATCAGTGATCTTGTCACTAGGAATGGACGTACAGGCTCGTCAGTTGCCACGGCTCTTGCAGCTGGCCTCGCAGCGCTTCTTATTCACTGCACCAAGTTGGGACACTACTATACCAATGCATGGAAAGGACCCGATACTCGCCGCAAAGAGACCATCACGCAGCAATTTGTCGACCAGATCGCAACTTACGAGGGCATGCAAAATGCTCTAGATAATCTGAGTTCTGGTAGTCGAAGTGGGACGAAGTATGCGAACCCAAGCAAGGATTTTGCGTGTGCGATTCAGGATCTGAGGCAATATGATGTACAAGGTGGAGCAGCGAACAACTTGCCTCAGTCTCTAAAACCTATCGCAACTCTGTGCCGAAACTTATGCAGGATATGAAGGCGAAACCAAAGTTGTCTCGAAGAGCACATAATTAAGGTCGTTTGATCTAGCTCACTTGAAAGAACGTCGAATCCATGCAGTCCAGATAACCACTTTACGTTCTCTATTCGTATTCTAGAGCCTCCTTGATGTCGTGGAGAAATTGCTCAGGCGTCCCTCACGGTGAATCTCAAGTTCAGAGTCTCAACTTCTGGGTTCGCTCTGAAACTGAAACCGCTCGCGCCTCCCCATACTGTCACTTCCGTAATTACTTTCCGGCCAAATGTCGCTTTGTGCTGGATGAGGAACAAGGCCGGAGCGGCGCCGTGCGTGCTCCCGAGAATGGCCAATCCCGGCCGAGAATCCATTGAAAATGTCGCCCTCTCGCCCCAACCTGGCACCCTGCGGTACCCGGCGTCATACAGAGCCTGCGCAATGAGGTTAAAGCTGGGGACATAGGTGATGTGAGACTGGAATATGAGGTTAATGTTGTTAGGACGAACACGCTTTGCTGCGCAGGCATCGAGCCATTGGAAGTAGGCGAGGTCGGAGAGCTGTTCAAGTTCTGGGACGTCGCCGGCACCGCTTTCGGCTATTTGATATCGGGGGCTGAAGTCTCTGTCAAAGATGATTGCTCCTGAGCGAGGGTTGAAGACGTTTTGGTAGGAGGCTTGTGATGGCTGGAGGAAGAGAGTAACATGTTAGTAAGAGATCCAGAATATTGAAGGCCGAAATTGACGGCTTCGTAGGAGCCGAAATTCAGAACTGACCTCTCCCCACGAGCCATCCCGGAGTGTGAAGTCATTTGCATGCAGGAATGTAGACAGCCCATTCTCCATCGGGTCTACTGGATGACTCGGGTCTGCGAAGACATCGTCCATGAGATTACCGAAACCAGGTGAGGTCTCAAACTGGTCAAAGTCATCGCCGTCACTGAACTCGTCGCCGCCGTTAGTGTTGAACGGCGCCCAGTTAATTTCGCGCGTCCACCCCCACTGTTCGACGGCGGCCTGGTTCTGCCATGGGCTCGCAACGCTGACCCCGCGGTTATGGCGCGTCGCCTCCGCGTCACTCAGCGGCATGAGCGTACGGAGGTAGACACCCTTTTGGACGCGACCACTGTAATCATTCGGAAAGCTGGGGAACTGTCCTACGACTCGCTTGGCGAGAGGTTCGTGGTCAGGGTAGGGAAGAGTGTCGGGTCTTGCGACTGGTGTGGGGGATGCGCCAACGAGGGCTACTTGGAGGACTGCCCATGACAAGAGGAGGCGAAGACCGCTTGCCCCGAAGGAGTTTGACGTGCTTGACATTGTAAGTTAGAAGTCTTGATGGCTTTAAGAGACACAATGGGCAAGTAGAAATGAAAGCTTCGGAGGGAAAAAACTGGACGTAAGCCGGATGTCGTTTAGATAATGTAAAGAAGCATTACCTAAATCACATCTTCCAGCGCATCCAGAATGAGTGAGCATATTGCGGAAATGACCATTGGCTTTAAGTTTTCCTGGCGTTCGGTAATATATGAAGTGCCTCGTTCCTTAGAAGTCAGCTGTAGCCTCATTCTTGGCGGGAGTAATTCAATGCGGGAATGGCACAACGGGGAGTTGCTAGCTCCTGGCAAGAACACTAATTTTATCCAGTTCAATGATATTAGGAAACTTACAATGAGCAATGACTCCACTGGTAAAAAAGCTTCGATGAATCGGCGCGTATATCTTGGAGGTATTTGAGCTAGCTCTTGCGGACGAGATGAACGCAAACACCGTCGATATTGCCGAAGGCAGATAGTCATGTAATTGCCCAAGTTTGGCAGTCCATAGTCTAATTCTCGTTATTTTATTCGCCATGACCAAGAAGCTTCTGGTGGCACTGGCCACTGTGCCGTGCCGTGCGGCGGCCGGCGAAGCCGTCTAATCAAACTCAAATGGACGACGACTGAGAACTTGAAGCAGGGCGGGCAGAATTTATCGGAGTCAACCACTAATGCCCATATCAACATCGTTATCATTATCTCTTAAGTATGCGCACCTCTCGAGATATCCCATCAGCGACTCGCTAGTGTTGTAACCTCTGTCTCAGCTCAACTTATACATCCACTGACAACATGTTTGTGAGAGCTCAGCACCTTCTTACAGTATGCCTCCTCTTCTCGGAGGCTGCCCTAGCTGCCATCTTGCCTCGCGGAGGCGATGATTCAGGTGGTCATCCATGGGCCAATCATGATATGATCACACCTTTCAAACAGGACTCCTCTCCCGGGACAGACGGTCGTCTGGAACGTAGATTTAACCCGTTCCTTGCCGTCACTGGAGGTTGTGATCCATATCCTGCAGTTGATGCCAGCGGGGCTCTTGGGTAAGCCTCCACGTTGTTCGTCATAAAAACAAAATCATATCTAATGGAATAAATAGAGCAGGTCTGAAGCCTACAGGCGGCGGGAGATCAGGCTGCGGCAACGGCGGCGCCGGCCAAGTCTACGCTCGCCACGGAAGCAGTCACGGACGTGATGCCATCATTTACAGCTACTACTTCCCCAAGGTTCGGTGGGGCAAGGGAAACGATGAGGGGCACCGCCACTACTGGGCCAGCGTTGTGGTCTGGATAAATCGATGGGGTTGCAACGCCGAGAAACCCTCCTCATACCGTGTCGTTGGCATCTCATACACGGTCGACCACTTGAGATGGGGTACTACGGCTGTCGGTGACCTCAAATTCAGAACTTCACCCACGAACCCGATTGTCTCAATCCACGATAACGCCATGGCACCTTTTCAAGATACAGACATATCCGCGGCCTCCAATCGCACTCTTATCGCGTGGAGCTCGTTACCTAGCCCAGCGAGGCAGGCCTTGACTGACGTCAAATACGAAAAGACCCAAGTGCCGTTCAACGATGCCAATATCCAAGGATCCCTCGATGGGGCTTATCAACAGATATTCTACAACGGTTTGAAGGACGGGCAGGACTGTACCAAAGACATCCCGGACCCTGATGGTCCTGACTTGGCACCTGGCGAGCAAGAGCCTATTGCAATTCCTCTGCCTCCTGTTGATAATTAGATACATCAATGAAGACAAACAGAGACAGTCTAAGTGATTATTGAACAGCTGAGTAATATTCGCAATTGAAAAAGTGATGTGATATCACTGATTTTGGGTGATTGTCCTTGGCAGTGTCTCTTTGAGTTCAATCTTGGGTCTACCATCCATCATGCCTGCAACGCAAATGACCTTCAGTCATTGCTGAATTCAGTGTGATCATGGACGAATTTTGATGAAAAATAATCGACTCCTTTACACCGTGTGTAGAAGCAGGGCTTTTGGTGTGATGTGGTGTAGGAGCGACGTCAAAATGGAATGCAAGGGTCAAGCGTGCCGACTTACATCATAGCATATCGACCGATCTTCTTATTCTGTCTATCGATGACGTCTTTTGAGACTTCCGCACTTGGCCTCAACTTCCAGAAAATCCTTAAGAGACTTCCAATCAGCCGAGGTTGAAAATTACTGAACAGCTCCGCCTACCCACAGACGGCGCGGAGTCCCGGATCCTCCTGGAGCTGGGCCAGAAAATACCGGAGTGCAACCAACACGCCGCTAGAAGCTTGTTGGACACATTCCGCATGATTCCATCATTGCTCGGTTCGGAGTTGTTGCTGAATGCCTGTAATGACCACGGGAACTAAACGTTCCCACATCAAATACGCGTGTTTCAGGGGTTGTGCGTCTTCTGATACCATGCGGTTTACCACGGCCGATAACAGGGGCTGTCTGATACTAAAAGTCCATATGTGCAGAATGGTCCTCGAATTCTTTCGAGTGAGAATTTTGATCTCGTTTGCAGTTATGGAAGGAACATCGGATTCGAAAGCTGCTCCTGAGGCTCCCAACATAATCCTACCAGATATGCCAGAGCCACAAGCTCAGAACCTTGCCTCGAAGGCCCCCATACAGAATCATGATCCTGAAGCTGTCCATGCAGTGGACGCAGAAGCTCTCATCATCGATTGGGACGGGCAATGCGACCCTGAGCACCCCTTGAATTGGTCAGATGAAAAGAAGGGGCTGAACATCGCCATACTGTCTCTTCTCAGCGTAGTTACGTCAGTAATTCTCAGGCTCTTGGCTTCTTGAAATATCTCTTGGTTGGTGCTGACATTTCCAGACCTCTGGGCTCCTCAATGTTCGCGCCTGGCATTCCCCTTATCGTGGAAGAATTTCACGATGACAGCTCCGTTACTGCAACCTTTCTGCTCTCGATCTACGTCCTCGGATTCGCCCTTGGACCTCTGTTTGTAGCCCCGATCAGCGAACTATACGGCCGCAGATACCTCTACATCTTTGGGAATATCCTCTTCACAGGATTCACAATCGGGACAGCGCTGAGCAGTAGCATCGGAATGTTGCTTGTTTTTCGCCTCTTGATGGGTCTATCTGGCGTTGTTCCCCTCACTATTGGGAGCGGAAGCATCGCAGATATGATGCCGCCCGAGAAGCGAGGTAGAGCCGTTTCAATCTGGGCGCTGGGTCCCTTGTTGGGCCCATGTGTTGGGCCGGTCGCCGGCGGTTATCTCATTCGCGCCGCTGGATGGAGGTGGGTGTTTTGGCTTATCAGTATTCTAGTAAGTTCATGTCTCTCGGTCTTACGATATGTCGTTAGGAACTTCCAAGACTGACGGCGCTCTTTCAGGCAGGACTATTCATACCAGTCTCAATTCTTGTATTACGGGAAACGTACCCCCCTGCTATTCTAGAGCACAAAGCCAGCCGTCTTCGGAAGAAGACTGGAAACCAAGAGATACGAAGCAGACTCGAACAACAGACCCGTATGTCAGAGAAACTCCGTCTTGCCGCCATGCGCCCGATCAAGCTCTTGGTAGCCACTCCTGTGGTCACTCTCAACGCCCTCTACATCGCTATTTCTTACGGCATCCTGTACCTCCTGGTAGCAACTTTCACTTTTGTCTACACAGAATACTATGGATTTGACGAGGGTTCGAGCGGTCTCTCTTTCCTTCCCGCCGGCATTGGCATGGTCGTTGGCGTGATCGGTTTTGGGCAGTTGACCGACTTGATTGTGAAGCGGACGAAAGCCAGAGGCTTAGAGCACAAGCCCGAAGACCGATTGAAACCAATCATGACTGTTCCTTGTGCGTTGGCTTTACCATTCGGCTTGTTTCTCTACGGCTGGACGGTACAGAATGGGGTCCACTGGATTGTTCCGATGTTGGGCGTCATGGTTATGTGTATTGGATTGATGGGTATAATGGTAAGTTCGAAAACACTTAGTAGATCTTGCTTATATTTACTAACAACAGGGCAGACATGTATTCAAAACTATCTCATTGATGCCTATCCGCAATATGCCGCCTCAGTGACAGCGGCACTGACAATTTTGAGGTCGCTCCTTGGTGCTCTATTGCCCTTGTCTGGACTGGAAATGTATGACGCTTTGGGCCTGGGTTGGGGGAATAGCTTGTTGGGGTTCATTGCATTGAGTCTTGTTCCAATCCTGGTATCATTCTACGTCTTCGGGGAGCGCATACGGGGCAGATTCAACTCCAAGTTGTAAAGGTTTCCCGTCTTTGTTCATAACAAGACTTGTTGGGGGCCATGCGATTAAACATGTATTAGTAATTGAGAGTCTCCAATACCTAATGCTTCCTCCTTTGACCCTCCAGATGATTACGCAAGAACATTTCCTTGCGTCCCAGAAAATGTCCCATGCTCAACATCGTGAATCTCTTCCGGCCATGATAGCCAGGGCTGCCACATCGGTCCCAGGTGAGCACTGATGGCATGTAGAAGGTGCGGCCCGGCCTCTCCGATCTGCCAAAAGCTCCTACCGAAGTGAAGAAACATGCTGTATCGTGCTAAAATCACCAACGCCTCCGGGGCCTGGCGCTCCAAAAGGCAGATGTAAAGATCAGACAGCATGATCGACCAGGTAAACATCATCCGTCGTCCGCACTCCACCCTGGTTGGATCCCTTAGGTCATGGAGGCCGGTATCCACCAGTCGAAGTGCCATCTCACATGCTGACCTTTCCTCTTCATCCAAGTTGGATGAGTGAGCTATGAGAGACTGCAGAGTCTCGTTTGGCTCAATGGTTTTATGGTACATGTCCGCAGCCAATCCCCTGGTCATCAGCGGGCCAAATTCAGTCTCCAAAAGAGAAACCCAATCTTGTTGAGCGGCGATGGCTTTGACTCCGCCATGAATCCTAACGCCGTGAGTGAAGCGATTCAAGAAACTAGGGAAGTCCAGGCCATCATCACGAAGCACATCAGCCAAGATGTGGCGGCCAAGGACAGAAGAAAACAACAGTCGGGCTACGCATGTGCTCCTGCCTTCTTCATGGTGCGTCATGTTGAACATTTCGATCGCTCTGGTTTGCAACCTGACTGCTTGATCGAGGTAAAGCGCCGACTTCTCGGGCCGAATAATGGAAAGATGGCGTGCAGACATGGCCAGGACCCCCTGCATCAAGAAAGGTGCCTCCTGGGCGATGTCCAGAACCAGCTCGGTTGCAGGTCTCCCCAGGTTGTCATCGAATTCGGGAACGTAGACGTCGAAGCTGAAGTGGAGAAGTAATTCCATGTGAAGCATGTTGACGGCGTCGGGGTCTCCGTTTGGCTGGAAATCTGGTGATGTCCTAGCAGAGTGATGATTCGATCGAGGGGACACATCATGGCCCTTGTTTGGTTTGGTCAATTACACGTATTTGCCTTCGCAAATGGGCGTGGCTGACTTACCCGTATGTATGGCTCCTCGCCAAAAGAACAGAGGCGGTCGGCCTTGATGCAGTTGAAGCATGTGGGCCGTTGTTCATCGCACTATTCAAAAGCAAAGAATGTCAGTCTATCAGATGCTATGCACGAGAGAAATCTTGAGAAGGGAAAGAGCCAATGATAATGCTGGTTCGAGAAACAGCTTACTCGCATATGTCGCCGCTTACACTCAGTGCAGCCTTTACGACTTTTCTTGTGTTGACGACGTAACATGGCGATTGGATATCCTTTGGAAATTTTCTTTTCAGTTTGTTGCTCCTCTGCTTTCAAAGGATGAACTGCCGGCCATGGGAAAGGATAAAGCTCTTCATGTCATGATTCGACTCTCCCTCTGAACTTGACGGTATGAAATGCATTAAGTCCGGTCAGCAGCTGACAACATCGCTAGGTAGCACAAAGCAGGGTCCAAGTATTTAATTAGTTGGCTGAGCGTTCGTTGATGTTACATCCGTACCCCTGATGGCTAGGATTGAATACGCGTATCTCCACAATTCTCCATAAGACAAGCATTTATGTGTATCTCGGGTCGTCGGCCCTCTTGCAAACCAGGATCCATCTTTTTAGGGCCGAGATCGAAGTTCTCTAGTCTGATGTTAAGAGGAGCAACGCATCTTCTGATACCGACAAGATTGGTCAACTGTCCTCCCAGGCAGCAACATAGCAAATTTCTCGCCGTACCGGTAGCGTGAGATTGTCACACAGTCGCTAAGCCACCACAATAAATGCTGATACAGACATAGTGACTGTCGCGATTAGTAGCTCAGGGGACACAACTTCTATACGGCAGACACTCCATACGTACAATCCACAAAGATGCTATTTCAGGGTAGAGGCTGAGTTGAATATCTCAAGGATAAGATCGAGACCGAGGGGATACATGCTAGTGAATTATTCGTGTTTGAGACCGGGCATCTCGTCGGCCAGAATCTTTTATCAGTATAAGAGTCAATGCCAATGACAGACGATTCAAGAAGTTGCAAAAGGAATAACTCGGAAGCTACCACATTTCTAAATCGATTTATAAAAGCTTGGCTTAGACCGCAATCAAAGATCTATCACTTCCTATCGATACCCGAACCACCATGACATCGATACATCAGCGAAGCGACAGCCAGGTCATGGCATCTCTTTACTTATACGACCCTTCACTGGCTGCCGCATGCGTCTTCATCGCCCTATTCTCTTCAACTCTTGCCGCTCACGCGATTTTTCTTTACAAGAAACAAACCCGCTTCTTCATTCCATTCATCGTCGGCATCATCTGCGAAATCCTTGGTTATGTTGCACGTGCCATATCGGCAGCTCAAACCCCGAATTGGCAGGTAATGCCATACGCACTGCAGTCTCTCATGCTGCTCATCGCCCCGTCGTTGCTCGCAGCTTCTATCTACGGCATGCTAGGTCGCCTCATCATTCTATCAAACGGCCAAGACTACAGCCCGGTCAAGCCGACAATTCTTACGAAAGTTTTCATCACGAGTGATATCCTCTCCTTTCTGGTACAGAGCGGAGGTGGGGGTATTCTCACCAATGCCAAGTCGCCGAGCAAGATTCAACTGGGAGAAAACGTCATCATTGTTGGTCTTTTCATCCAGCTCGTTGGCTTTGCTCTTTTCATTGCCGTCACAGCAGTTTTTCATTGGCGCGTTTCTCAAGACAGAGGTCAGAATCTGAGATACGCTGCCTCATGGGAGAAGTTTCTTTGGGTCTTATACGGCGTTAGTGTACTGGTCTTGATCCGTTCACTTTTCCGCGTCATTGAGTACATCCAAGGCTATAATGGATAGTGAGTTTTGTCAAGTCTTCTGCTTCCTTTTCTAGTCACTAATTACTCATACTATCAGCTTGCAAACCACAGAGGTGTTCCTCTACGTCTTCGACGCGGCTCTTATCTTTCTCGTCACTTTCATACTAGCTGTGTTCCATCCCAGCAGGGTAATGACCGTGGGTGAAGACGGAAACGTCATTTCCGCCGAAGGATCACAGGAGTTGAGAAGTTTCGTGTCATTGGGAACCTCCAGCGCTCAAGATCTGAGTGCAAGGTGGGCTCCCAAGAGTACTCATGAGAGAGAATATGGTGGTCACTGAGTTGAGGCTTCTAAACTGTGGAAATGCCTTTGTCTCTGGCATCCAAGAAATCTATGGAATGAACTCCGTGGGAATTTTTCTAGAAAGAGTCACTTTATCTGATGTCGTGTTTCTTTTGTTCATCTTAGATGTCTTAGCAATGTTAATATCTTCGGCCAACCTAAAACCTCCAATTCAGATGACGACGATATCGCTTATGCATTGCGAGGTGACTTGAACACATACGCTTCATCAAATGAACGGGAAACGGCCTTAGAGTCGAGGAATCAAGAATTCGGGTGAATATTAGACTCCATTCTAATAATGAGAAATTATGAGATCTCAAAGTTTGGCAGCAAGTCCTGAGTTATGAGGCCTATGCCCTGTCTACCACATTCTGCCTATGTCAGAATGCACCTTTCAGTGTTAATGCGAGATCCATTCATAGACCAACCGGTTCAAGGAGCCCATGGCGTTCATAATTTCCTCCACGCACTTGGATGTTGCAATTTTCTCAAGAATTGAGAAATGCCCTGAGGAGCTATTATGTTACAGTTTTTTTTTGAGGTTGAACTTGATGAGTTACACGAAGATAAAGAAATACAATTGGAATTTTGACCTTCATCGAGTAGCTTTACCGAAAAGTTGTAGGCAGAAGATCAAGTAGCCGATCGACGGCAATGTTAGCGGCAAGACTTACAGCAAGCGCTCGAGGCACAGCATGAGACGAAGGTTTAGAATCTACACACGACAGTCACAACACTACTGGCTCATGGAGTGTGCTTTCAAGTCCTGGGAAGCTTGAATCCTCCCCAATTCTGTCGCGTGAAAACCTCCAATGGGTCATAAGCCGCCCTTACGTCTCTCATCCTCACGAGGTTCTCGGCAGGAAACCCAAGAAACGGATTCTGGAACTCGGCTGCGTCACCCATGTAGATGAACTCTGAGGCAAGACCCTTCGCCTGATTTTCAGCATGCATATCGTCAAGAACCCCGCGAGCAAAGTTCGTCACACGTAAGTCGCTCTCCTCACTGTCCCATGCGGTAGATGTTTGCCAAACTAAGTGTTGTAGCATTAGCGATGTACGTCTAATCAGGTCTCTTTGAAACTTACTGATCAATGGCTCGGTATCGTCCAGGCCCCAGGTGTTACCAATCCCATTGTTCTTGGCTACTCTCATTGCGCTCGCCGCCATTGTGTTCAGAACAAGAGTCGCGATCAGACCTTCCACGTCACTGATGTCCTCAACGGCAGCTTTCCAGGCCTCATAAATACGGTAGAGTTGATCTGCATCTGCTTTCATCGTTTTGTGACCGAATTGAATTCTGCGGCAATGTGACATTAGTATTGAATGAAGGCATCACCCGGATCTGACTCTTTGCGTTTTCAGGACGGCGAGATCGTACCTGAACATTTGGAACGGGCTATCCAACTGCGCATGCCAATCAAGGGGGCGTTGGACCACATTCTCAGTCAAGACAGACGGAAGGTCTGAAAACTTATGAAAGCTCGAGGGTGGTGACTCAATGCCTTCTTGCACACCTCGAACTACGGCAGAAATGCCTTTGGTAGTGGTGTTGTATGTGATGGTGATGATGGAACCGGCGCCGACCTCGGGGTTTTGGTTTTTCGCCAAATCAACTGTAGCGTCGATGAACTCTCGGACCACAGACTCGTCAAAGACCTGCAGAGTGGTGCTAATCTTTGGAATAGGCAAAGTCTTGATGACAAACTTTGTCACAGCTCCAAAGTTGTTCGCGCCACCCTTCAATGCCCAGAACAAGTCAACGTTAGAGGTTGTACTCGCGACTACCTGAGTTCCGTTGCCGAGTACAACGTCGTAGCTCACGACGTTGTCCATTGCAAACCCATATTTATTCGTCAAGTAGTGGAAGCCTCCAATCAACGAAAGTCCAGAGACCCCAATTGTCTTCATGCGACCTCCGATGCAGTAGAGATCATACGGTGCGAGGGCTTCGTAGACATCTACCCATCTGTTGCCGGGTCCGACACTGACAGTCGAGTTGTCGGGGCTTATCTCAATGTCGTTCAGGAGGTTAAGTGCAAGTAAGACGCCGTTGTCTATGTCATTGGATCCCGGAAACTGGACGTGAAGTCTCGTCAGCACCCCACGAGAGCAAGAGAACAGCAGCAGCAACGACAATGATTGCTTACATTCATGTGACCGCCCCCACGAATGGCGAACTGCGCACCACAGGATGCGAGGATCGACATGCCTGAGGCTACCTGTAGCGCATCCGTCGGCATGAAAATGCATCTTGGTTCAAGGACTGCCCGGATGTCGTAGAAGTCTTGGGCTTGAGTCGTATAGTCAGTTGAGTTCATGCTCAGGAGGGCATTTCCAAATCTCTTTAACAGCTGGTTGCAGGCACATTCCGTCCCAGAACTCAAGGTTGGCAGGGATTCCAAGTACTCGAGAGTGAGGTTTCCCGGGTTGGCAAAGGAGGTTGCAGCTACCGCTCCTGATAGGGCAGCGAGAAGTAAGCTTGAGAACATGATTGAAAAAGGCAGACGTTTGGTTAAAGAGATCTAATCAAAGCAGGGACAGTTCGAAACGGTGGTTTGCAGAAAACAATCTTAGGTTCTCGAAGTAGGCGAGGCGAGTTCTTAAGTTAATTCCGATCGTGAGGTCAAAAAGACCGGCCATTGGCGGTGCATAAAACAAGCGATTTGTATACGCTTGATAGGCAACAAGCCAGAGAATACTACCTTCCGAGATACGTGTATCTCACTAGCTTCCAAAAACTAAGGGCACTAGATAGCGATCTCCTGAGGGATATTGACTGTCCACAACACCCACCATCAGCATCATCATCAAGTATGCTGCAAGGTAGATGGGTGTGTAAGTGGAGCTGATTGCCTACAAGGCCCACTCTACACAGACACCTCCATTTTCTGTTCCTTTTCCTTTTTTCTTCTTCTTCTTTTTGACATCAAGAATACTGTGTAGTCTTGACGGAACAAGATCAATTCCCGGCACCCGAAACTCAACACAGGAGCAAGCCAGGGGGTCACGAAATCGTTTGCCGCTTAATAGGTAATACCCCCCTTAGCTCTGTTCCTTTGGTTTTTCTACCACCCCTTATTTTGTTCTTTGTTTGAAGAGTGTTCTCTAATGAATTTTCAAGAAATAAGAGTAAGAGTGGAAATGATAAAAATAAAAGGAATAAGAAGAATAATAGCAATAATATGCAGGTAAGTAAGCGTTATAATCTTTGATTGGCCAACATCCTATGTTGACACCCATTTGACAGAGAACATTAGAGAGTCGTAATTTCTTAAGCTCAACACCGGCCCGAATGTGGCAGTGTAGAAATACGTGTATGCCGGGCCCAGACTTTACGACCCGCGCCGAAACATTTCCATTTCGGGAAGTGTAGATCGACTTTCGCAAATACGTGTATTTAGTCCCCCAATCTCGAGATCCCTTAGGTCAACGATCGGTATCTGCAATTTTGGTGAGGCAAACTTGGAGGAAGGAAGAGGCCTTGAGCCTGGCTCACCGACTTGGAATCGATGCACCTATGCAGAGGCTTGTAATGTTGGTGTTCAATGTTTATAAGAGTGACCTCCTTTCAATTCATGGCTCTTTCTGTCCGATCTCAATCCATGATTTACCTACTTCTTACACCCAGAGCCATTGAGAACACTGAGATGCGTTCGACTGTCTTTTCTGCGTTGCTTTGCGCTGGCCTTGCCTCCGCTGTAGCTAACACGTTTGGTAAGCTGATGATCGTATTCCAAACAGGCGGTGGAAGTGGCAGCTAACAATCATGAAGTTGACTGGGACACCGCAGTTTCGAAGGCCAATGCAATTCTAGCAGAACTTACCCTCGAAGAGAAAACGGCAGTCGTCACCGGTGCGAACCCGCTGACCGGCCTTGGTTGCATCGGCAGCATTGGTGCAATCCCGCGTCTCAACTTCTCTGGCATCTGTTACTCAGACGGTTCGTCTGGCGTGAACCGTGCCGATCTTACAAGTGTGTTTCCAGCGGGTTTGACAGCTGCTGCAACTTGGGATGCGGACTTGATGTACCGTCGTGCGGTGGCCATCGGCGAAGAATTTCGAGCAAAGGGCATGCATGCTTGCTTAGGGTAAACCTTGTCGTTCTCATGGAACAAAGCATTCTTGTGCTAACATGTTGAATTCAAGTCCCGTGGCAGGACCACTCGGCCGTCATCCGCTTGGAGGTCGTGTCTGGGAGGGGTTTTCTCCCGATCCCTACCTCACCGGCATCGCGATGGATCGCTCTATTCGAGGCCTCCAAAGCGTGGGTGTTCAGTCAATCACGAAACACTTCATCGGCAACGAGCAAGAAACGCAACGCACTAATGTCACCCTTCCCGATGGATCCAACATCGACGCCGTATCTACCAACATGGACGACCGCACCCTTCACGAGCTCTACCTCTGGCCTTTCATGGATGCCATCAACGCGAAGCCTGCCGCAGTCATGTGTAGTTACAATCGATTCAACCAGACATATACTTGCGAGCACTCCAAGCTGCTGACTGGTATTCTGCGGGATGAGCTCGGTTTTGAGGGGTACACCGTGTCTGATTGGTATGCCACACACTCAACTGCGGCCTCTATCAACGCTGGCCTGGATATGGAAATGCCTGGCACAACTGTACCCGGACAGGGTACTTCATGGTTCGGAAGCCACGTCAAAGATGCCGTTCAAGATGGCAGCGTTTCCACAAATCGCCTAGACGAGATGGTTCGTCGTATTTTGACCCAGTACTACCTCCTAGGCCAAGATGATAGCAGCTTCCCGAGCCTGGATCCTTCAACTCTCTCAGTCATCGCAACCCAGTATCAACAAAATTTAGGAGATCTTGTCAGCAACACTCCTGCCAGAGATGTACGTGGTGACCACGCGAAGCTCATCCGAGAAATAGGGGCCGCCGGTGTTGTCCTGCTCAAAAACAATAACACGCTGCCTCTCATGACTCCTATGAACATTGGTGTCTTTGGCAATGATGCTGGCGACTTGAC